TTTTATTACGAAATAAGAATGATAAATATGTATATATAAAGTAATAAATAATAATTACAATCTTCCCAGATGTATTACAAGTGTTATGACATGAGGTATATTTCATGTAATGCGTTTATTGTATTTAGTGCACTGAATTCAATCTGCGCACTTTATGCTTTGGGCATAAATTCCATTTTGTTAAAAATCCCATGCAAACATTGGAAAAAATGTTTAGAAAAATTATGAAAATTACTTTCTGCACTCGAAAAAGAAAGTAATTCAATATTGATATAAAAATTGTTACTTTGCTATATACGTAAAAAAAATCATTGTAGGACGTTTTATATAGATATCGTAATTTACAAAAAAAAAAATTACGAGCCAGATGCAAAAATATGCAATTATTTGAGCATCTAAATATAGGTCTCTCAATTCGTCACGCAATTTTGCGACTAAGCTGTATAAAGCTAGCAGGATCAAATCAGCAGAATTAAATCGGATCTATCGGAATTTTTAGTACTCATTTTATACTAAATTGTACCATTAATGATAATTTTGTGCCGTGTGCCATTTCGAAAAAAATCGTGGCACTGCTGGCTTAACATTAAGCTAGCAGGACCAATTCAAAATAAAAGAAAAAAAGAAAAATAATATCAGAAATTAATACGATTGAATTTGTACTATTTCGTACTGCCAAAAACAATTCTATATTATGTTATTTCCAAGAAGACAATGACGCTGATAGTTTAATATTTAAGCTGGCAGGACCATAAAAAAAAACAACACAAGGGCAAAAATTAACACAACTGAATTTGTACTAATTTGCACATATCATTGAAAGTAAGTTAATATTTTACATGTTTTTTTTCTCCTTAAACTTTATTAGTAGTATACATAATACTTAAAATCTATGAGGCATATTTCACGTCAAACTGGACACCTTTGAAACATCGTCATTTTATTTTTTTTTAAATTTGCTAACATATGTATTCTACAGATAAACAAATGGAAAACGATTCATTTATATGAAAATGATAAATTAAAACTAATCCATCCATAGAACAATTTAATATCTTTAAAATCGGATTTTTAATCTCGGAAATCTGACATTTTTTTTGTACGACTAATTATTTCGACGATATAACAATTTGAATGTTCGCGTGAGCAATGTTTTTTTATAAATTTATGCAACTTAAAAGCGTCAATAACTTTACAAAAAAATCTCACATTTTTCTCACGAAACACGTATCTTATTATTATCTGTAGAATATATTATCTGTAGAATATGTTAAGCAAATTAAAAAAAAAATTAAATGATGTTTCAAAGATGCACATAGAATAAATTGCAAGTATATATTAATGAAGTCATTTTAAGGTGAAAAAAAACATGTAAAATATTAACTTACTTTCAATGGTACGAATTAGTACAAATTCAGTTGTGTTAATTTTTGCCCTAGTATTGTCTTTTCTTTATGTCCTGCCAGCTTAAATATTAAACTATCAACGTCATTGTTTTCTTGGCATAATATAAAATGACATAATATAAAATTGTTTTGGGCAGTACAAAGTAGTACAAATTCAATTGTATTGATTTCTGATATTATTTTTCTTTTTTTTTTATTTTGAACTGATCTTGCCAGCTTAATATTAAGTCAGCAGCGCCACGATTTTTTTCGAAATAGCACATGATACAAAATTATCATTAATGGTATAATTTAGTACAAAATGAGTACTAAAAATTCCGATACGTCCGATATAATTTATAATATAAACTGTGTGTGTGTTGTGTTGTGTGTGTGTGTGTGTGTGTGTGTGTGTGTGTGTGTTGTGTGTGTGTTTGTTTTTTGCGTGATGATTTTACATATTCAAGTTCAGTTCCAGAATTTAAACTCTTCATTCTTTTTTAATTTTTAGAATTAGGAAAAGATGAAAAATAAGTTAAACCAAAATTAAAGTTATAATCACATATTGATGGAACCGGGCCTCAGTACTTTCAAGTTTATCGTACCTTCTCTATCTTCATCGTTTGTAATAAGACCTGCTTCCGAATCACTGGACGAAATGCTGGAACTAGATATACGGGAACAATCCACCGTATCCTCGCCTTGCATTTTATCTCGATTTTTCGGTTTTGCATTTTTGGTTGGTTTAGCTACTCTCATTTCACAATCTATTGAACGTTCCCTACACGATCTCTTACGTTTTCCGCACCTGGAATGCAAAATTAGACAATCTGTACATTGTTTCTTATTGCGAATAGAAAATAATTGGATTGTATTTCCTTACCATATAGCACTATATCTATTTTTACAATCGCTTCGAAAGATACGTTTTTTTCCACCGAATGTTGAAGTCGACATAATTGCCACTGCTTGAGAAGTGGACGCGTTAGAATCGGAATCAATTGCCATTCTTTTAAACTTCCTTTTGCGTCTGGTGTTCGCTCTTGGCACAAAATTTTCATTTACTGAGTCGCTCTCGATATTACTGACGTTATTTAAGTTTGGAAAATGTGCGAAACGTTTGGTCTGATTAGGATCGTCACTATCCGACTGATATTTCGAAACATTGGCAGTTTTTGGAATGCGAATTTCACAAATGGAAGATGAGCTGTCATCCGAATGTTTATTCATACTTAACGCCGCTACAAAAATATTATACAATACATTAATTGTTCAATATTACATGATAACTCAATACGTTACTTTAATTCTTCATGATCACATGCGATTAATATTTAACTTTTTCATGCTGTAGAGATTCATTTTTACAAAGATAATCTTGATAATAATCCTGACTGTGCGTCACGCAGAAGTAAACTGCAATTAATCGTTGCGTAGGTGCAATTAGAATGCTTGTGATATATCCTCTATTATTTTTAGTTTAATGGAATATTTAATTTAAAGTTTTTAATAGGCC